TTAAACAGGCTTGTAAAACCAGTATTTCTGAGAAAAAGTGGTGTGGCCCTCTCCCCTTTTTTAATTGTAGTAATGATTGTCTTAGCTCTTTCTCACTGTGAAGTCCGCCGAACACCAAGAAAACACCTTATAGGTTTACACATAAATTTACATGACATAGTCAGACTAATGTCTGTCACTGTGGTTGTCAGTCAAGTGGACTAGGCATCAAAGAGTTCAAGGTGAGGTGTTCATAGTTTATAGGTAGCCATTGACAACACAGGCAACTTGGGAAGGCAATTAACTCTAATAAATAAAGTATATACCTTTTCAGAGAGATGGAAACTCTCAAAGATCACACAAATCCATCATAATCAATGTCAGGAAACTGGAGATAAACCCAACGTGGATTGTATCCAAATAGCAATCTCACAGATAGAACCTTACCTCTTCTAACCTGTGTGCCTCATCTTTAACAAATGGTGAAGGTTTTCCTTACGAGGGTACGAAATAAAGATACATATACCAAATCTGTCTTACTGAGGCCATGACATCTACAGTGCACACTAGAAATCGCAGTAATTACAATAGCATTCACTTTCAGCCCTCTCAACAATATCTCTCAACTCTAGTACCTGTGGCTCGGCTAATGCCATATGCACTGGCCTCCAGCTTTGAGGCCAGGCATTCTCCCCTCCTTTTTTCAACAACATCCCTTTAAACATAAGCTAATACTGAAGTAGCATTAGTAGCTCCAGAAGGCTGTCATGTAATTAGAGGAAAGAGGTCATCTAAACAGGGGTTTTAGAGAATCTTGGGGAAGACTTTGCTGTGTGAAGTCACAATTTCACTCCTTCCTCACTCTCCTGCCAAGTTTCCACTACTCTACAAACTTCCAGATCTCCTTCCCATGAGTATCTGGAAGTTGTCTGGTCGTTCGAAGCCCACTCCTGAACTAGTACACCCACCATTGTCTGGGATCTCTGTTTCCCATATGATGCACATAATAGAGTTTCCCCTGATGATTTCATCTTCTCTCCTAATTCAAAATATCCACCTAACCCGCACCCGCCTCTTCTTGCCCACTCTGCTGAGCGACAGAGGGAGGGCATATTTGGTATATGCACCAGGGCTCTCCATCCACTGTTGATTCCATTTCTATAAAGATGTCAGTGAGGGGCAGGCATTTCTCACTGTGAGGTAACACTGGGCATATTTTATTCATGGTGCTTTGGATATAGGAAGCACTTTATAGATGCTATGGGGGAAAAGAGAGAGAGAGAGAGATAGACAACTAGTAAACCAAAACCAGAAAATACAGTCACCCCCAAAATGTAAGGCTTTACTTTTAAAGACAGAAATAAGCCAACAACATGCCAAACAAAATATGCACTTAAATCAAAGGAAAAGAGAGCTGGAATGTCCTTACCCCAGTGGACTTCTGGTGCTAATTGCAAAATAGATGCAGCTGACACTCATGCCTTCTAAATATAAACTCTTTTCTCTCAGAAAAGAAAAAAGAAAAAGAAATGAACTGTGTGTGTGTTATATTAAAACATCCTATGGACCACTTCACACCTTAGGAATGAAAACTGACAAAGAAGTCCTTTAATGCAACAGGAAAAATCCACCAGCACAGAGCCAAGTTGGCCTAAGGCAACAAAATTCAAAAGCTATCCAATGTGGGTCAGGCTGTGGTTCTGTGTGCAAGTGGTTTTGTGATGCCCAACACTCGTCTTACATGAGAGAAAAAAAAAATACACTTCCCTTCTCAATTGAAATTGGCTAATTGATCATATCTAAAAATAAATATTCCCATAGACAGAGGTCATTGGTTGCTTGAAATTGCATCAGTTTGTGTCTGGATACTAGAATCCTGGGATCCCCTGGGATGTCTTTGTCATTTTATCAGAATGATTACCAGCAGAGCTGTTCCAGTGTGGGTCCCCTCAGCTCCTAGCACTTCTATTTGCTTTTGCATTTCTATTTTCCCCATCAAGCCGAGTGGCTTTTGCTTTGTCAGTCTGGCACTTAATATCCAATGTTAATTACATTTCCCATTCTGAGGAAAATCCTATTGGGCTAATTTTTCAACATCATATGATGAAAGAACTTCAGTGACAAACCATGTATGTTTTCGATTGTTTTTTTTTTTAAATTGGTACATCTATTAAGAACTTAATATTCAGTGGGAAAATAGTCTCAGAGCAATGAAATTCTATTACTTTAGAGGTTGCATGCTTTTAATTTCTTAATATTTCATTACTTGTTGGCAACTGGTGCATATTTTTATAATGCGTTTGATCATTACTCTTCTCCGGGTATTCTATTTCAGTTCTTCCTCTGACATCATATTTGCATGTTAAAGGGTTTTTGCATTCAAGGATGGAATGGTCTGAATAGCAATGTGCAGTTAACTTGATTTTTTTTTTTTCAAAAACAGAAAACAGCAAACAGACATTATATATAGGGGCCAAGGAGAACAATATTATCCTTTCCAAATCCAAATCAAGTCTGAATAGCTTTCTATAGGACATCGTAAAAGGTAATGCTTCAATATCATTCATTAATTAGCAAATTAGCTTGGAGAGAAGGGCTCTGTTTCTTTGCTTTTTATAAGTCTACTGTTTTTCTTCTCTTTCCTGTGGGGGGAAATAATCTTTTCTTTGCTCTCCAGCAACATCTACTGGAAAAGCCAGAAAAATGCTATTTATATGAATCAGATAGTTTGAGTAGGGATACCATTGATTGCCATCTACCTAAAGAATGCCAGCCGAACTGCATTTGGCTACAGCGTAACTCCACATCCATCTTACTTCCAGTTCCTTCTTTAGGGGAGAGACAGAGGCTCAAGTGGTGGTACCCGGGCGAAGTACAGTTTAAAATTTAGTAGTGGCTCACCTTGAAGAAGTCATTTCACACACAAAAGTAGAAAGCACATGTGAGAAAGATAACGCAGTGCGTGGCTGTGTCTTCTCAACCCTTATCACTTATAGATATAATCCTCACATTCTGAGCAAACACCACCACCACCACCACCATCAACAAAGCCCGTCCATATTTAGGTGCACCAAGAGTCAGAAAAGAGTTCATTCAAGAAAGCAGTACAGGGAAGGTGGAATTCGAGGAAAGCTACTTTAAGATTCTGTGGAGTTTCTTAAGTTGAAGAAGAGAAAAGCTACCCGTGAGGCTATTTTTTTTTTTAATTGGCCAATGCCCACCCAAACGTCTACATGGCATTCCACAGCAGTCTCCCCTTTCCTGGTTCACACCCCTCACTGCAATTCAATCCACAGGAAAAAAAAAAATTTTTTTTTTCAGTTTGCTTGCACCTGCATCAGGACCTTCCCAGGAAACTCCTTCCAGCAATAAAATTCTGAATGCTGTCATCTGACCAGGGCCACTGTCCACTTGTTCCCCAATGGCCAGTACCGAGCCTGTCCTCATGTCCTCTCCAGCAGCACCTATACAAGCTGCACCTACAAGATACCGTGGGTCTGGTGACACAAAACCTGACAGATCAAGGTGCTAAACAGCCAGTCCAGTTTGGAAACTAAGCAAGAAAACATATGATCACGACACAAACACATGAAATACCTTCTTCTCCGTGTGCGTGCTTAATTCCACAATGCCATGGGAGAGCAGTTCTTTCTAGGGCCAAGCCTACAGGCATTGACATCACCTTTCCATAACCCATTCCCGAGAAGCATTCTCTTAACCGAACAGCACACTTTTAAGGCACTTCCCCCTTGCCCACCAAAGCAATTTTAAAACGAACTTACATATGTCAGGTAACGCTTTTGTCAAAAACCTGGGAAGATTCGGATTCCAGTCACATCTAATTTCAAAAGTTGCCCTATTTGTATTTTTATTTTTCCATTCTCAAGTATCAGTTCATTCATAGCCGGCCATAGTTTTATTTATTTATTTATTTTAACAGCAGAGGCAATGGACACAAAAATCCACAAAGAGTGAGATTAACGGCAAATAGCCCAAACTTTAAAACAACATCTGCAGACACAAAACCCCTATGCTGAGAGATTCAAGCATAGAACACATTTTCCATTTGTTCAACGTGAAAACAGACAGGAGCCTTTTAAAGCTCCATCCCAAAGCTTTTAAAAGGAGGAATGCTATCAAATATAATCCAGAGTTCCCATTCATGGCGCACAAAAGGAATGCCTAGTAAAAGCTACCTCTAGCAGAAGACCGGACTACATTTTGGGTATCCTAGATTTTGGGTACTAAATCAAAGTTCCGACTTGAGTCTCATAAACACCCCCCTCTGTCATTAAGGGGTTTCAAATTCAGAAAGCTTTATTCAACAGCATTTGCAGAGTTAACTCCCCCTCCAAACTGCCATAACTCAGTTTTCCTAATTATTTACTGGATGCATTTCTAAGGCATGCCCTCACCTGATGTTTTAACTTCATATTTCATTTGGGACAACACTTAGTCTCCATTTAGGAACCGTCAACCTGCGGCAGGTTCAGGAGATTCAAGACGCGCCTCACCCACAAGAGCCAAAGCCAAACACACCCAAGCAGCCAGACTTAAATAAACTCTGCTTTTTGCCGATACCTCCGGTGAGAAATTATTATAAAAGCATCAGAAGTTCAGGTTGAAGAAAAATTTCAAATGTCATCTGTCTCCTAGGGCTTAAGTCCCGGAGTTCAAAAACAGTATCAATTGAATTATTTTCCCCCTTTCCTTAGCTGTTTAGAATTCAACATAATGCAAAGTGCTATACTGATCAAAATCATCTTTCTCATCTCTCCCTTTAAATAAAAGGGAGGAAAAAATCATTCCGTATAAATGCATTTACTATACAAATCTATTTTCAATTGAATTTGCTGCATGCTCTAATTCATCAAAATTAATACAGGTACTTTCTATGTTAAACAAAAGGAAGCCGACTGAAAAATCGGCTTCTGCTGCAGATGCCTTTCTCAATTACAAAACGGGTGAAAACAGAAATTTAACTAAGCCAGTCGGTCAAACCCTCCGATCGGCGCTCTTACCTGCCTCGGCTGAAGGCTTCCTTCCCTTGTTAGCAGTGTGCAGCATCGCTAGCTCGCTCCAATCCTCACCACCGGCTCAAATTACACCGCTAAGTCCACCCCCTCGCCTTTCCCCCTTCTCTGCCTTTCTTTTCTTTCTATTTATTTTTTTTCTTTCCTCTCCGTTCTTTTATTATTTATTTATTTATTGCCAGCAAGAAAAAATACTTATTGAGAGTGATTAGTTTTTTTTTGTTGTTGTTGTCCCTTTTAAGTCCCTCCTGCAGGAAGGAACAGGGGAGCAATGTGACGCCACCTTTTAATCTTTTGTAAGAGTGAAAAGGCAGAAAAGGAACGCTCGATCAAGCTGAGCTGCACACATGACTAAAACTCGCAGGAGACGCTGCTGCTTGCTGCCTGGCGAAAGCACCGCTAGGCTTGAGTGTAAGAACAGAGAAGAGAGGAGTCGATGGAATGTGACAACGTATGTGCATCAAAGGCAGGGGGAGAGAGAACAATGAGCAAGGGAAGACAGCGAGGAGAGGGAGAGATGGAAGGAGAGGGAGGGAGAGGGAGAGGAGAGGGAGAAACAGGAGAGAGAGAGAGAGAGAGAGAGAGAGAGAGAGAGAGAGAGAGAGAGAGAGAGAGAAGAGAAACACGCACACACGGAGAAAAGATAGAGCGGGGTTTCAGGCAGGGGACTCTGAGAATAAAGCCACAGTGCGGTGTCTGGCAGCTTCTGTTTTTATCTCAGCGAGCATGATCCGCGGCCTCTCTCATTTAGAAACACATCCGTGTATCTTCCAGGTTTGAAAACTGAGATAATCGCAGTGTGTCTCTGGTTTTGTCTGATTGGCATTTAACTGTGCAGTGTACCTGTGATTTTTTTTTTTAAGGATGCATTTGTGTGCAATTTATTTCGAATATTTATTTATGTAGGCAAAAATGAAAGCTGCTAATTTCTACGGCAATTTGCAATGTAGTTTTACTGGCAGATGGAAGTCTACTTACCATAACTGCTGACAAACTGCCACGGGTAAACAAAAGAAGAAACAAATGCTTCGTCTTGATAATTGTCTTTTTAAAAAAAAAAGAGAGAGAGAGAGGGAGAGAGAGCCCACCCCAAAATATTAGCACTTGCAAAAACCATGTTTCTTGGCTCAAGTTTAAAAGGTGATTTTTCTCCCTTAGTTTTTAGAAATAAAGGCACAATAAAAGGGAAGACATGATGTTTGAAGGAAAGGTATTGGCAAAGAGGCTATTAGCAATGCACACACCTAAATTCTCCCTGGTTTCCCTCCAAATGTGATGAGTGATGGCTTTCTGGAGTCCTGGGGCAGAGCTTTTGAGTCACTATTGCCACAGACTTATACTGCATCTTCCTGCCTTCCTGTACTATTTTAAAGGAGGTTCCATTTTTAAAACAAAGTGGCAAAGAAATGATTTGCCCATTCAAATCACTTCCAATGCTGCCTCACAAGCTCTGTTCCCTTCCCACTGCTCTCTTGCCACATGGGGGCCAGGATTACACAGTTAAATTCCCTCAGTGACCTCTTTTATAAGGATGTAAATTGCTGATTCCAAGGTCAAGTATTTGCTAGAAGTTAGTTATTGGTGAAATGACTGCCTGTTTTTCCATGGTAACCTGAGCTAGCGCAGTAGTGAGCTAGCAAGAAGAGCAGACGACGCCCAAACTTTTGACGGACCATCTCCTTAAAATCATGTTGCTTGTTTCTTTCTTTCTTTTTTTTAATAATATTAGAAGGTGAATTCCATGCACCTAACTTAGAACACTTGCCAATTCAAAGAGAAAAAAAAAAAAACAACAATAAAAAGATAACTCTAACACTCCATCTTTGTATTTCTACCACGTTATAAGAATCTGTCCGTGGACCCTCAGCATCTTGTAGTTTGGGATTCCTGTGTGAGCAAGATATAGAATGAGAATTGGTCCAAGAAGGATAAAAACCCTCTTGCCTGCCCCAGTCACAATGTTGTATCCAAAGTGGGCCTGCTTAATCTTGTTAAAGCCAGAACATAATTCTTTTTCATGCTCTGCCAATAGGAGGATATGTGTTTTGCTTGGACCCAAATAAAGAAATACTCCCATCCTAGATGTACTTGAATGAAGCTCTACTGATCATTAAGGCAGTGTAGAGAATGGAGGACACACAGGGGCTGAACAGAGGGCAGCTGGCCAGAGGACGGAGTGCTCAGATGGAGTCTGGAAGGGACGCGGCTAAGGCCCCGCTTTCTGAAAGGGATGAATTCCAAACTCTCCACGGAATATTTCTAGAGCATACTGAAAAAGCAGCAGCCTTATAGTGACATTGTTGATATAGGGTCTCTAGTTAAAATTAACTTCATAAAAGAGAATAAGTGGACTGAAGAATTTTCTGACAATAGAAATTAAGATTCAGCTACAAGGACACATCTATTTCGGCATCATGGAAGTGGGGACGGGGGGACTGGGGCTTATTGAACAGGGCAAGCAAATGACAGTCAATCAAAGATAAAAAGAAATCAAGGCAAGGCAAGACAAAGAAGATTTTTTTTTAAAGCTATAAATGGTTTTTCAGTGGTGTTCCTCATTTTGATCACATACACAGTGAGCAGGTAGGTACATATCATTTACAGCTTGTTAGATATGATTTTTATTCAAGATCTCTTGAAAGAGGGGGCTACCAGAGATTACTATTTCTAACTGGGGTGTGACTTTCTATGGCTGACTTTCCTGCAGGACAGCTTTGCACTTAAACCTGCTTAGACTGTAGTGTGTATTCTGGTGTTTACGGTCCCAGTTTGGTACCTAGGCTGCCTTCCTGGGATCGAATCCCAGCCTCCAGCTACCTGCTTGCTGTGTGACCTTGACCAAATCATTTCCTTCTCTGTGGAAATGTCCTTATCTTAAAATGGATAAGAGTCTATGTGCCTCCTGGTCTGTCACTAGGAATAAAGGGTGCATGTGTTGTGGGTGAAGTGTGCTCTTCACACACAGAGCATGGTTTGACATGGCAACTTCTGTATTGTTAGGAAATCCTCTCAACTACTTTGACATTTTTTAAAATGGAAAACGTAATATTTAACCACCTCAAAATGGATGACGCATGAAGACTTCTTTCCACTCTGACCTTCCTTACAGGATCCAGTTATCAACACTGCCCTCTGGGTCTTTCCACTTGAATAACGTGCTTAAAACCCAAGAAGTTCTACAACCAGGCTAGTGAGTCCGCCCTCAGAGCAAGCTTTCTCTCCAAATGTCCCCATCAGTGTAAAATGTAAAGATCTTGGAGACAGCCCGGCTGCACTTATTTCCTTTGTCTTCAATCATTCGATTTCAAGCACCCACCAAACACCACTCCCACATTTTTACAAAGGTCTTGTGGTTTCATTTCCAGACCCCCAGACCCATCCCAATTTCTGTGTTGTCCCAGCGTTTCTTTTCTTTTCTTTTCTTTTCTTTTCCTTTTTTCTCACTGTGCAGCCCTTCTCTGTCGGTGCTGAGCCACATGCAGGGTACAGATATAAAGGATCCATCCTGAGGACATTGCCAGGGCCCTGCCAACTCCTATATCAGATTGTAACACCATCTCCTTCCCTTCTGAAGAAGGCACTTCAGATCCCAAGGAAGGAGAGTGACATTATTCTAGGTGTGACCTTGAATCAGCTCTAACATATAAAACAGCTAATCTGTGGCAAACCAGGACTTTCCCATTAGTGCCCTGTTAGTAGAGACACCTCTCCCCCTGTCACGACACAGCTTATTGAAAACAACCATTTGAAGAGGTTTTCTTTCTTCTCCAATTCATCCCTCACAAGCCAGAATAACCTTCTTAAAATGCCACTTTGAGTGACATCTGTTCCCAATAGTTATTGATTGGCCAATTGAAAGTCTGTTTTATTTCATTATCTTACGTATTGGCTTAAAAAAAAATCATCAAAGGTTCACAATTCCTCAGAGAATGAAGCGCAGATTTCTTTGCTGCACACTGAGTCACCTCTGTGGTTGGGCACCGACCATCCCTGTAAATGGTCTTCTATCGCTGCCTCGGAAGATCTTGTCTCCCACAGCCCAATGCATCTGCAGGCCCTTCACAGCTGCCCAGGAAGCCCAGGGGCTCCTTAGAATGCTGGCTCCGCCCAGCTCACCGCAGCCTATTTAGCTGCAGCCTCTTGATCTAAGACCAGAACAAGTTACAAGTCCTCCAAGAAGATGCCCTTGACCTTCCCGGTTTACAGCAGCGAAATTGCTTTAATCACAGTAGCTATCTGAGGGCCCAGGAAAGGTGGCATACATCATAATTAGGAGCTTGGCTTTGGACTTTGCCCTAGGTCCAAATCCTGACCCTGGAATTTGCTTCTTAATTGTGGAACATTGGTTAAATACTTTCCTCTCTGAACCTTACTTTCCTTGTCTATAAGATAGGGCGAGAACGTTGTTATCTAATCCATGCTGAAGAATGAGCACAACGTCTCAGTTCAGACCTAGAACCTACACAATAAAGAGCAGTTAGCAATCATACAAGTGCCCTCTAAGTCAAAGGGTCTCATTACCTTCAATTTCTAACCCTCACCACAACCCACTGAATGGCTGTTATTAGAGCCATTTGACAGAAATGGAACTGAGGGCTAGCAAATGAATCTGCTAGCTGTCACATGAATAGCACAGGGCAAAGCCACACCCCTTGTCTTTCTGCCTTTCAGGTTTTCACAAATCCGTGCCACTCACACGCAGGCCTAACCTGATAGCAGGTTAGCTTTAGCTTTTCATGATTTGAGTTTTCAGGTTGTGGACCATGTTTCTCATTATATTCCAAATGAAAGGAGAGTAATATTCATGTTTGAAACATCTCTGCATCCTTACTGCCTTCCATAAATCTTTAAACAAAGTAGCTTGCTTACTTGGTAAATGTTTGTTGCCTGCTTGATCATCTGTGCTCGCAGGGATTAAAGTTTTCAACCACATTTAAATTCAGGGACACTATTTTGTGAGGAAATGGCTTCATCATGAACCATCATTCATGAACACTATCATAATTATACACAAAAAAAATATAAAAGACAAACATTACATATGAATGAGCCAACAGAAATGAGTGGGATCCTCTCAGGAGAAGCTATAGGAAAGTAATGTTCATGGACCTGGTTCCTCATATGTGGTATTTACACTCTGCTGAAAGTGTACCCCTCAGGCCACTAATTCCATGCATGGGAAGGGGAAGGTTAATAGCTGAAAATCATCCTTTTAAGGTTACACAGAAAGTCAAGAGTAAGCACTCAAACACTCACAGCATTTGGTAACCTTTAATTCTTCTTGTTAAATAAAAGCAATAATTACCTTCTCATTTATCTTCTCTCTGGATAAGTCGACATAATTCTAAAACAACATGGGTTGGTGTAAAATTCAGGCAACCAATATGTTTTCTCATGTACATGGTACTGAACAACATTGCTGAATTT